AAATAAATAATAAATTAATTCTCAAATATTCAATAATTAAACGGGGCATTACATTAGTGGTGAAAGAATGGTATTCATTATGACCATTATCATCGATAATCATTGGGCAATAGGGTATTTTAGAAACAACATGTAACTGATTTTGACTATAAAATGCATAAATGTTTTCATAAAATTAAATTAGTTTAACTTAAAAAATCATTTGTTATTGTTCGTTCCATTTTTGTTTTATTTTTCGTGTTTGTTTTATCTTTATTTTTCCCCATTCTAGGTATTTTTCTTTGATTCTTGTCCATTTTGTGTCGTGTCTGTTTGTCCCGTTTTTGTTGTTATTTTCGCTTATATTTTGTGTGTCGTTCCCCCGTTTTAGGCCTTTTCTTAGGTATCTCCGGTCCTTTTTATTGTCGTTTCTTGTGCTTTTGTCTTTATTTGGTGTGTTTAGTATTTTCTGTGTTTTCTTTCCTAGTTTCTCTGTTTTTCGTGTTCGTTCGGTGGTGCGATTTCAGGTTTTAGGTTGATCGGATTGATGAGCTTTCAGACGGGGTGAGAAGTGAGTTATTTGAGCATCATTTTGTGGGACCCAAGCATGCGAGGATCGAGTTTCCAGCTCGGGCAGTACCCGAGCGACGAAGCCGAGCACACGGACCGTAGAAAAAGCCCACATTTTTGGACCAACGGAGCTTTACCGCCGCTAAGGCCCCTGTGTAAGCGGCGCTTTGGATTTTATCGCGGGGCAGAGACTTGCAGCTAAGGCGGCTTAGCGCCGCTAAGGTCTGTTTTCAAACGGATGCGTTTGCATGGAATTTGAATTAGGAAATGATATGAGATCGATTAGGGCATGAATTATTATTCATTCTGACTTTGTTTTTCAGAGTTTTTTCATTTCCAAAACATATTTTCTCTTTGTTTTTCATCTTGGATTGGATTTTGAGATTGAAGAACTCGTTTTCTAGCTTTTGGATTCGGTTTGCTCTTTGTTCTTTCGATATTGGATTTGGTATTAATCGTAAGCTTTTCTTTTCATCTTATACATAAATGTGATGGCTTCTTTTATTGTGAATGTTTGTGTTGAGATTGCGATGAGTGGCTAATTCCATAAGTTAGGGATAAGGGATAATTGTTTCGGTTCGTTTCGATTACGTGTTTGATAATTGCTCTATCTATGCGAGTTGATCTTATCCTAGGGTTAGTTGATTGATCCCCAATTTAACCTAATTAATCGACGTTAGAACCGAAAGGGGAGACGTCGGTCGATTTAGGCTCGTTTGGAATAGACTTGTTCGTTATTGTATTGTCTATGTGTTGTAGGGTTTGATGAGTTGCTCGTGTATGTTCACCTTCTT